TAGCTGGATTATATCAGGAAAAATGCTGACATCAGGATTGCAGGAAGACTAACAACCTGCAATATGCATATGACACACTGTTAAAAGTCAAGAGGACTTTAAGTTATATAAAATTCAAATAGTAAGTCTTCAATATGGGTTGTACTTAAACACAAAGGAAAAAAACCCATAAAACCTCACAACTAGATCAACAAACATCATCATGATAAATGGTGAATAATCATATTATCAAGGATCCCATTCTATTTAGATCAACAATTAATGTTCATGGAAATTCCCCCTGGTGGCCTAGTGGTTTGCATTTGGCAGTTTCATCTCTGCAACAATTAATGCCCAAGAAAGTCAGAGTCAAGAAATTATACTGGGCAAATTTGCTGCAAATGACCTCTTTAAAATGTTAAAAAGCAAAGCTGCCACTCTGATTACTTAGGTGTACCTGACTCAACCCATGGTCTTTTCAAATGGCACTGTAGGATAATGCACTAGACTGCATTAGATTGCAAGGTCGGTTTGAACCACAAGATTAGTGGTTCAAGCTCACCAGCGGCTCCTTGAAAACCCTACACAGGGACACTATGAGTCATAACCGACTCATAACCAATGGCACTTAACAACAACATGAATGCGAAAGCTGAGCAATGAAAGAGATTGGAGAATTTACTTGAATTATGGTGTTGGCGAAGAATATTGAATATACTGTTGACTGCCAGAAGAACAAAAAAATCAATTGTGCAGAAGTACACCCAGAATGCTTCTTAGAAGTGAAGATGGCTCATCTTTGGGCTCATCACTAGGAAAGACCAGTCACTAGAAAAGCACATCATGTTTAGTAACGTGAAAATGAGGGAAATCCTTCGTGAGATGGCTTGACACAGTGGCTACTACAATGGGCTTCAACACAGGGTGTGGATGGCACAGGGAAATACATAACACCTCCAGAAGCCAGAACCCACTTAGTAGCAACGAACAATGAAACAAATGGGTCATTAGAATAGAACCAAGAAGTAAGTTCCTATATATAAACATAACAATTAAATGACAAAAGTAACATTTTAAAACAGTAATAAAAATAGACTGACTCAATAATTCATCAATAATCAATAGTGAGGGGACATTTTACTATCACTGAAAAATTAGTTTCATACCATAGACAAAATTCCATATGGATAAAATTATTTAATGAGGTAAAACCCATAGAAAAATAGCAGAGTAGATTTTTAGGTATAAATTAAGAAAGTCATCATAAGTAACTAAAATTCCCAGAATCTACCAAAATTTTACTACATAAAATCAGAACCAAATAGAAATATAGTCCAAAGGATATGAACAGGTAATGTGCGTTAGAAATTACTTAATAAATATATTTAAAAATCAATCTGAGTGAACCAAAAAATGCTTTTTACCCTATCAGATATCCAAAAATTTAAAAGATCACTGATGTACAGTGGCAGCAAAGTTATGTCTGGAGGGCTTGAAGGATACTTGGTTACATTGATATTATTCTACTTCTGAGAATCAATCCTGCAAACATTCTTACACAACTATGCAAACCTGCATCACCAAGATGGCACTATCTCTAATGTACAGAACACTCAGCAATCTGACACCATCAGAAGGATAGACATACATAAATTATTCAATACTTATACAATGCACTCATTTTTAAGTGAGGACAAGACACTGACATAAGACTGCAAATGAAAAAGACTTGTCTTTTCTGACATGCTTTCAATCCTAGTTTATAGATTTTGAATCTATGATTTAATTTCTCCTTTAAAGAGTCAGCAAATTGTGATTTCCAATTTTCTATGAAGACTAGCAATTTGAAATAGATTAATATGTCTGTATTATAAAAGACTTAATAAACACTATGCATACCTTTTAAACAACACAATTTTCAAATGTCTATTTTTAAAAATAATGAAAAGGAACCTGTAGTTTAAAAAGCATGCTTCTTTTTTACACCAAATGTATCATGAAAAAGTATTCAAAGACTGGATATTTACCATATTGAATATTAAAGCTTTTTTTTTTTTTTTTATCTCTATGAAGGGGCTACATAAAGTTCATGGAAAAATTCCATTTTTCCATAAATAGTTTTAAATTCCCTTGTATACTGCCCTTTTCCCCAAAATATAAAAATCCAAAGGTCACTTCCATCCCCCTACCCACTTATGCCATCTTTAATAATGTCATGTGAGTAATAGTTTACGCAGTACTTTTAAATGGTGAAATGATTCCCACATCAATCTCTGAAACTGATTAGATGAAAATAAAAGGAATTAAGTCGATTTTAGCACTTTATCTCCTAAGTAACTGGCTAAAGTTAGTCGCTAGTTTCAAAAACGACTACTGAATTCTAAAATGTTTCAAGAACACTATTTTCATTTATCATAAATGCTTTAATAAATAGTGAACTTCTTAAGATGCAATTCCTGAGCTGACCCTTAAAATTTATGCCCAATTTTCAAAAAACAGCAATGATACAATACTAGAGAACTATTTTGATGGTGTGGAAAGTATAAATCTTGACCTTTCAGCCTCCATTTCAAAGAGATTATCACCTTATTGATAGGAAAAATAAATATCTCAGATAATTTTTGTATCATCTAACAAAGGAATCCATTCTAAATGACAATTTAGAGTTCTGTGGAATAATTTCCAAGTTTATACAGAAATCAAAATATCTCTTTACTTATGAAAAAGGTTTAACATAATTTAGGTGGTTTTTTATTTTACCAAACATGATAAAGTCCAGTCATGCTGAATAACAAAACTCCTAGATCACTCTAAACCAGTGATTAGCTCTAAGGAGGTAGGCAGCAGAAAAGGTTGGAGAAGGTTTTAGCTGTTGCAGTAATCTTACACTGTTGTTGCTGTTAAGTGCTGTTGAGTCAGTTCCAATTCATGTGACCCAATACGGGTGCTGAGGAGTGACTGGTGGGCTTGAGCTGTCAACCTTGTGGTTAGCAGTCCAGTGCTTATTCCACGCATCACACCAGTAAACTAATCTTGCATTACTTTACATACAAATTGACAGAAAATATGTCTTTTGATGCAGTTCACTAACCTGACTCTGGCAGCAGATTCCTTGGGTTCTGGGACCGTGTGTTGTTAAGTGCCGTCAAGTCGGTTCTGACTCATAGCGACAGTGTATGAGCAAGCGAGTGGCTGGTGAGTTTGAATTTCTGACCTTGCATTTAAAATCGACCTTGCAGTCTAGTGCTTATTCTACAGCACCACACCAGGACTCTGTGACCTGGTGTCTTATGCAAGTCACTTAAACCCCCAATGCCTCAATTTCCTTATCTATAAACAGGAGTATAGAATTGATGCTAAGATTAAATGAATGTTACAAATGAAGTGCTTAGAGCAATACCTGACACAGGGAAAATGCTATTATAATCATAATTAATCTCCCCATCTATGACCACCAACTATGAGAACTGGCTGGAAAGCTGTAGGAAAAGAGGTGGTAGTGGTCTCTGTTCTGTTTTATATTTATGTATTAAACACAAATTCTGTATTTGTATTCAGTGACAAATGATCAAAATCACAAGTGAGAAAGCAGTAACTTTTTAGAGAAATAATTTTTCAGTCTTCTGAGTTTTCAAAAACATGAGACAATACAAGCTTTGGAGTTTGATATTTATTTTTAGCAGGAAGGATATGCTAATGGTGGTGACATCATTAGAAGACACGCCCGCCCATGTCCAATACCTGCAATAGAAGCTCGACAAAAGTTAAAGACACCATGTCAAAAACTAAAGACAAAAGCTGTTTATGACATTACTTACCCTTTATTCTGTTAGCAATTAAACAATACTATAAAGACTGAAAGGACCATCACAAGATCAAAAACTGGCAAGTTAACAATCAAATTTGTCTTTTAAACAAAACTTTTCTTTCTTCCTATTACTGGGCAACCTCTCCAACAACTGTTCTCCAAGGGCCTCTTATATGTGAGCAAAGGAAGACCAAATTGAAAAGGGGTAGTACTAAATGAATGACTGAAAATTTGGGGTAGTAGAGTTTCACTGCTGATACTAAGTGATATTCAAATAACTGCTCTCACGGTAATAATGGCAATCTAATCTAAGAATGACCTTTGGCACAATTAGGACCTGCTGAACAAACAACTGTTTAATAATGAATAAAGTCAACTAATAGAGCTATTATCATGCCATAACTACAAATTTACAGTAAACTGTAAATAAAGAGATGTAGACAAATTAGAACTTTTCCTATATATAATAAGAATTTACTATAGCAATAAACAATTTAAACAAAAACTAATCAACTGAAAGATTCCAAGTACAGCTCACCCACCTCTAACAATGACCACTCTGTTCAAAGGAAATATGAATGTTTCTATTTTTTTTTTAACCACCTGCATTCCCAGACTTTATATATCAACAGTATCAGTTTACTACTCAAATGAGACAGGACCAATGACTCTTCACCCAAGAGTGGTTTTGAGTCAAATGAGGGTGGTAAAGTATCATAACCTGGGGAAAAACAACAGAGTAGTTTGATGACTATGCTCCAAAGCAAAATCAATGAATTACTATGAGGGAAGTTCATGGAACTTTTCATTCCATTTTTCCATGAACTTTCTGAAGGCAACTTGTAAACCTAAAAAACTATATGTACTCAGAATAGAACCACAATTTACTGTACTTAACATCAGACTTTATACCAACTGCCATTTTCAAAAATTTTTTGTTGACTATAAGGGTTTATAAGAAAAAATATTATTTCATATGAATAACTTGAAAATACAACTAACTCTGCTAATTCCAAATTTCTACATTTACTTAGGCAGGTTAATTTGGTTCAAATAGAAGAAAACCCATTAATGCAAGGAGAAGCTTACCTGGATCTAAAAGGGTCCATGTAAGAAAAAATAAAACAAAATGTGTAGGTACATGAGGTATCTTAAAATTCCTAGTAAAAGGTAAATTAAATTAATAAGCACTAAAAAAGGAAAGATTACGCACTTCCAATTTATGTTCTTTCTCTGCAAGCGCTTCCTTTTGACAACGAAGAAAATCTGATAACATTCGAGTGAGTTGTTTCCTATCATCTATTTCTGCGGCCAATCTGCCATTGTAATCTGCCAGCAACATACAAGCATCCTCTACCATTTTAGAAAGCCTTTCTCCAGATTCTTTATCTAAAAAAAGCACAAAATAATAAAAGTGTTATACAACAAAAACAATTCCATATGCTGTTCCTTCAGCCTCATTCCCAAAAGAGTTGTGATCACATTTTCTCTTCTCACCTGTTATTTTATCTAGTAGGGAGACTTCTTGCACTTCAACAGGCAGAGAGGCTATCCTCTGATGAACAGCTGCATCACCTGAAGCTGCATTTTCTAAATCTTGTAATGCTCTGACGAGATCTAGAGTCTAAAAAGTTACATAACTTCAAAACCAAAATAAATACAACACATTACACTACAAGAAAATTAAAGTTTTTCTTATGTAACCCTATGTACTATTTACTAGTTTAAAGTTTCTAATGTAAACTGTTTTAGAAAACAGTTTCTTTATATATTAAGAAAAAGAAACTAAACTGTGCTAGATGTTGGAAATGTGAATAAATCTACTTGGCCTCCCAGTTGGTCCAGTAGAGTAACAATTCAGCTTCTTGTCCATGATGACTAAGTGGGCTTCAGTATTCAGTTACTGTCCCAACAGGCAACTTGGCTCGGGTCTTGGCTGAGAATCTTTCTGCCTCCCTTGGACTCAGACCAATACCAAGCCACAGTTCTAGGCAGCAACTGGTCATTATCTTTCCTTCAAGTTCCTTTCATGGGGGAGAGAACCTTACCCGCATTTAGTTCCTTTCAGTGAGTTTGAGTCCAGCCTTCCAACTCTTATAGCGCAATTTGAGTCCTTGTCATCATCCTACATAATTCTAATTTCTGGCAACTCATGTATGAAACTAGACTCATGAACTCAGCAAAAACCATCCTCTGGTCAGGTGTACAGAGTTGTGCATGTTTCTGTATTATATCTAGCCCATGGAGAAATTCCCCTTGTTTTACAGTATACTTATGCCTTCATTTATTCCTTTTAAACTATATTTGTGCCTCTTAAATGTTTGAAACAGAGAAGGAAGAGCCTGAAAGACTGAATGCCCACCTTAGTGAAAAGTTCAAAGTGTCTCTCTGGGTCATTTGATGGTTAAGGAATTCTATATAGTATCAACCTAGGAGGACCTGAGGGATTAAGATAATGATTGTAATCCATCTTATTTTTCCACAGAACTATATGGTTTTAGTTTCATAGAACTTGTCACTCTAATATTCCTTTTTTTCCTATTTTAAAGCAAAAACACATAAAGTAATATTTATCACTAAGAACAAAAATTTTAATATACTTTAATCATATTAAAAAAAGTCTTATTAGATGTTTCATGTATTTAAAAGGAAACTTTAGTGTATATCTCATCAGACCAAATCATAGTTATTAAATAGATATCCTCTATATAAAATATGACTGCCTAATATATACATTAAATATTTACAAGTTCTTAACCAGAATAGAATTTTTATGCATTTTCTTTCTTGCATCCAAAATTAGAGTAAAACTCCATTTCTAAAAAGAAAACATCACACGTCATGAAAGATGATATTCAGGTGCTCATGATCATTAGCCATTAATCAAACCCCAACCAAACCCACTGTCACTGAGTAGATTCTGATTCATAGTGACCATAGGGCAGACAGAACTGCCCTTTTGGGTTTCTGAGACTTAATTCTTATGGGAGCACAGAGGCTCATCTTTTTTCTGATGAGTAGCTAGTGGGTTTGAATTGCTGACCTTGCAGTTATCAGCCCAATGCAGCCATTAGAGACACAATAAAAAACAATGAAGTATTATAACACCCCAGCAATAACAGCAACAATCAAAAAACAAAACAAAACAAAAACCATAATGACGAGGCCTGGGGACTGCTGAGCCCATGGACAGGGACATAGCCACAGAGGGCTAGAGCAGAGAGTGAAGCATCCAGCTGATATGGAGTGAGGGGAGATGCACAAGAACACCCATACTTGCAGATAGTACCCATTTGACCTAGCTTCAATGGTTGAATGATCAAAACTTGACGAGAGGAAGAAAGAAGAGAAAAAAAGTGTAATCCACTACAGTGTAATGAACTTGACCTATACTTACGGATTTAGCAGCTTAAAAGAGGGAGGGAATCCTCACAGCAAGGATCATTCCCAACCCCTCTGTACATAGGGTTGATAGAGATGGGCAACTTAGACATTGGTTACCTAAAATAGGGAGTGCTATAAAGGCACGAAGTGACTGGTTTACAAATTTCCAAGAGAGAGTTTAGTTACAGAGGGTGTGGGGGAAGGTAGAATCGCCACTGAGTGGTTTTCGACCTGTCTAGACAGGGCTTGTGAAAGGAGATGGGGATAAGACTCTTGTGGTTCAATAGTGAGTAATTGTTATCAGGACTGATTACATTGCAATGTAAAGGTTTTGTAACAAAAAGCGGGGAATGGTTGATCTTGCAGTCCAGGAGCGGAGAACCCTGGGACCATAAAGGGAGAAGAGCGGGATCAGAGTGGGGCCTTATTCAGAGAAACAGCGATGCCAGAGATGGAGGCAGAGACGATGACGTGAAGAGATGGAGAGGTTGGGGACTCTAGACTCATGGAGGGAGAGGGGCTGTGGGCTGACGGCCGGAGGGCAGGCTTGCAGGGTACGCTCTATGGTTGTTTGAATGACTGTATATTCCTGAGTGTTTCGGTGTACATCAAAAAACAATAAAAATGAGGGAATAGAAGCAAATACTGTTGACTGAATGATGGTGCATGGAGGGAATTGTAATCATTGCAATGAAGTGAAACAGGATGAGTGTAAAGTGATGTTCTCCTATGTAAACTATTACTCAATTCACTATAAAAACTAAAAACAAAAACAAAAAAAGTTAGAAAACAAACTGACAAGGGTGTATAGAGATTGGAACTTTGGTGGGACTGTAAAATGGTACAAGCACAGTAAACAAAACAGCATGGCATTTCCTTAAATTAGAAACAGCAATACAATTATGATCCAACAATCCCTCAACGAGGTATATATCCCAGAGAAATAAGAACTATGACACAAATGGATACATATACACCCATGTTCACTTTGTTTGGTAACAACCTCAAAGACCATCCACAGATGAATGGATACACAAACTATGGCACATACACAGAATGGAGTAACATGCAACATTACAGAATAACAATGAATCTGTGAAACATCTCACAACATGGATGAACCTGGAGGACATTATGCTGAGTGAAATAAGTCAACCACAAAAGAACAAATACTATATGAAAACACTATTATAAAAAGTCAAGAAAAAGTTTACACATGGAAAGAAACATTCTTTGACAATTACCAGGGATGGGAGGGAAAAAGAGAGAAAATCACTAACTAAATAGTAGGTATCTATTAACTTAAGTGAAGGGAAAGGTAATACACAATAAGGAGGAGGGTCAGCACAACATGACCATGGCAAAGGAAGATACTGGAAGGTATGAGTAAAAGGTAACAATGATAAATATTATTACATACACAATCCTGCAATAACAGAAATAACAAAGAATTTACGAGTAAATACATAGGTACATATGTATGCTGAACAGATGTTTGATAGCATACAGGAGTATATCCAATAGCATATGTAAGTTTTGCAAAAGGCATTTCTGCATACATATTTGTACGTGCTGTAAATATATCTAGAAATATAATACAACACAGAGGGGCAAAGTTATGCAAACTTCTTAGCCATAACCAAATACCTTGAAAGATTGAATTACTGGGCTTGTAGGTTTGGGATCATAGTCTCAAGGAATATTTAGGTAAGGTATGCAATGGACTGCTAACTACAAGATTCGTGGTTCAAACTTACCAGCTGCTCCTTGGAAACCCTATACAGGGTTGCTATGAGTCAGAACAGACTTGATGGCACTTAACAACAAGAATTCACAAAGACAATGTTCTACATCCTACTTAGGTGGGTAGTGACTAAGGTACCAAAAGCTTGTGAGCAGCCATCTAAGATACAGCTACTGGTCTCTTCCTATCTTAAGCAAAAAAGAGTGAGAAAAAAAAAATCAAAGACCCAAAGAACAATACTTTGGACTAGTGGACCACATGAACCACAGTTACCATTCGCTGGAGACCAGAAGAATTCGAAGGTGCCCAGCTACCATTACCTGTTGCACTGACAGGGATAACAATAGGTCTTAGACAGAGTAGGAAAAAATGTACAATAAAATTAAAAATCATTAAAAAGACCAGACTTAAAATAAAAAGAAAAACAAAAAAACACCAGACTTATTGGTCTAATAAAGACTGGTGGAACCTCCAAGACTATGGCCCTTGTTGTTGTTATGTGCCGTGGAGTTGGTTCTGACTCATAGCGACCCTGCACAGGGTTTCTGAGGCTGCAAATCTTTACGGGAGCAGAAAGCCTCATCTTTCTCCCGTGGAACAGCTGGTATTTTCGAACTGCCTGCCGACCTTGAGGTTAACAACCCGATTCGTAACCACTACGCTAATGGCCCTTAGAATTATTCAAACCTGGAACTGAACCCACTCCTGGAGATCACCTTCCAGCCAAACAAAAGACAAATCTACAAAGTGAACAATAGCAATGGTGAAGAATGTGTTCCTCAGAATAAACAGCTATATAAGATCAAAAGGGCAGCATTCTGTACAAAGTTCAGAAGGACACTGGGGCAGCAAAGATGGGAAAACAGAATCAAGAAACCCAGGGAGGAGGTGGGACAAGTGTTATTACGCTGAAGGACTTGCAACTAATGTCACAAAACAAAATGCGTGTAACATATTAATTGGGAAACTCACTTGCTCTATAAACTTTTATCCAAACCATAATAAAAAAATAAAACATCAAAATTAATAAAGTTCACAGGCCATATAAGGTTAAAAAAGCAAACAAACGCCTAATTCTCTTAAAAAAGAAAACCTTCTACCTGTGGTGGTTCACTTGGAGATCCCAGGGAGGAACAGTTTTCATTTTCATCCACCTTTATCTGTTCATAAGTTCGCTTCCTAGGTTTCTTATCCCCATCTAAAATGAAATATTAAGTTTTAATGAAAGAATACATTTTATTGAAGAGATTATAATTTTAAAAATCACATACTTACACAGAGCTTGCTTAAGTTGTTCTAACACATCATTTTCATACACAGACCTTTCTTCCCAAATAGACAAAACTCTTCCAAGGTGCTTCTTACAACTTTCATCAGTTTCACTAAAGAAAAAATAAATGTTAACAGTAAAAAAATAAAATAAATAAATAAATAAATAAATGATTTAATACATAATACTTTAAAAATGTTAATTTTTCAATACAACGTGGTTTCAAAAAATTCATGGAAAATGGAATTATAAGATAATGGAATTTTTCCACAAATTTTTTGAAACCCCAACATATAATCAGACATTTATTATCTATCTGGAAAAAAAACAAAAACATTGTCCAAATGTTTACTGAGCATCACTGTATGATCAGCAATACAGAGGTGACATAATCAAGACAGATACACTCTTGGCTTTCTTAAAATAACTTACTATTAAAAAAGTTACAACAGCCACAAAGTGTTAGTACAAGCTACTTGAGTTTACAAAGAAGATACTTCTAACAAAATGGAGGTTGAACATTAGGCTAAGGGAAATTTTCTAACAGGTGACTTCTTGATTCATTCAACAAGTATTTACCAATCAAGGTACTACTATCCTTGATACTGAGGATATGAATGAAGCTTTATTGCAGCTGTTATTTATAAATACTACAAAAGTGAACAGGTACTAAGGAAGGTCATAAAAGAGAGACCTGGCTCTGCTTAAGAGAGATCAGGAAGTTTATTTGAGGAAATATTCATTCAATCTGAGTTCTGAAGATTGGATATAGGGGGAAATGGGAATAAGAAGTCCTCTCGGTCACTTCCTATGCCCTTCATTGCCACCACCATCGAATGAGCCACTATTATCTCTGGTCTCTCTCTGGTCTCCCAGCCTCTACTCTAATTCTCCATAGAGCTTCCTTGTAATATAAAGCAGATCTTCATGCTCTCAGTCTTTTAAGAACTAACCACCATGCCAAGAATACACCGCAAAATCCATGTCCAGAGCCTTAACTCTGCTTCCCTGTCAGTCCACATTCTCTAATATCTTCTCTGATACAATTCACCTTCCTGATCCCCAGGGCATAGCCATCTCATTGTAGCTGCAAGTATTCTATCTAGAATGTTTTCCCCCAGATAGTCAAATGGCTTGTTTTATGGCTCTGTTCAACCCTAACCCTAACCCGAACCCGAACCCTAACCTAAGTTGTAATTATTTATCAAACTACATAACTAAGCATCCTCATATCCTCTAGCTATGTCTCTGACATGACTATATTTACTTGTCAGTCTTGTTATTCACTACCGTTACCATTCACAGAAATGCAACTTCCATAAGAACAGCTCCATCCACACCCTTTGGGTCTAACACATAGTAGGCACTCAGTAATTTTTTTTCCTTTAAATTTTATTTATTTTGTTGTTGTTGAGAATATACACAGCAAAACATAGACCAATTCAACAGTTTCTACAGGTATAATTTAGTGAACTCTGATTACATTCTTTGGGTTGTATAACAACCAGAAGTATCTTACTGAATTCTAGAGAGGTAATATCTATAAGGAAGAAGTCCTGGAGTGGTGCTATAGGATAAGCATTGGACTGCTAACCTAGAGGTCAGCAGTTCAAACCAAAGAGATGTTCCATGGAAACTATACAGATCACTATTTGGTGGAACTGACTTGATGGCACTTAACAATTTAAATATGTTAAGTCCAAAGGCAGAAGAACAAAGAGAGGCTCAGCGGGGGAATCCTTTTATCTGCCAAAATTTATAACATCATTCATACACACAAAGTATCAACTTAAATTTAGCCTGCTGTCTTTGGCTAGACATTTAATTAACTCACCTCAAACCCACCAACTGTTTCCCGGAAACCCTATACAGGGTCATTATGAGTCAGAACCAACTTGATGGTACTGAGCAACAACAACAAAAACAACAATGTGATGACTGGAGCTGCAGTTGCCTTAACAGGGGCAGACTAAATGATTCTGTGGCCTTATATGGCCCGTGGGCCAGATGTTCCCCATCCTAGACCTAAATCGTAGACAATGAACTGTATGTAGATAAAACTGAGACATGAGTCTGGAAAGTAGGCTAAGCCATGAAGGAACATCTTAAGTCTTACTCAGGACTTTACTTGATTTCTAGTGCAAATGAGAACCATTGAAAGACCTTATGGTAAGCTCAACTTTCTGATTACAGTTTTCTAAAATGGACTGAAGAGTCCCGGTGTGGCGCTGTGGATTAATGTGCTGGACTGCATGGTTGGTTTGAACTGCAAGATTGGTAGTTCAAGCTCACTAGCCATGCCTCAGAAACCCTACAATGGGTCGATTAAGGGTAGGAACAAATTCGATGGCACTTAACAACAAAATGGGCTGAATAATAGTGGATGCAAAATTCTAGCTGGAAGTCACTACTATTATACAGAAAAGCTGTTTAGGTAATTGGAGTAGAAAGAAATCCAAGGAACCAAGGGAGTATGTACTATATGGGACAGGAAATGAAGAAGAAAAAAAAGAGTTAGATAACATCTAATTTCTTTTTTGGGCCTTGAGATATATGGTGTTGCCATTTGCAGAGACCAAAACAGAGAGGAGGAGCAAGTATGAAAGGCAGCAAGGCCATAATGTGCTCAGTATCAGTTAAGGTTGAGTTTGAACTGTGTGAGAAGCATTCAAACAGAAATGGCAATAGGCTACTGGACATAAAAATGGAAAGCACAGAAAAGACATCTGAACTGAAGCACAACATTGTCGAGTGTGGATAATAAATAAATACATGCAACATACAAAATCACCCAAAGAACAAGTGAAGAATAGTACCAGAAGAAGACCTAGGATGAAATTCTGAAAAATACCAAATTTTACCAAAAATGGTAAAAGACAACGTCTCAGTTGAAGGATAGAAATACATATTTTAAAAATCAACATATACCAGTATTTGACACTCTGTAATTTTTCTTTTAAAAATGTCTACAGTAACTCATATATTATCTTCTTTTACTACTGAATTCTATAATTTATTGTTGTTGTTATGTGTCATTGAGTCGGTTCCAACTCATAGTGACCCTGTACAGGGTTTTTGATGCTGTAAATCTCTACAGGAGCAGAAAGCCTCATCTTTCTCCCACGGATCAGCTGGTAGTTTCAAACTGCTGATTCTGAGGTTCACAGCCTGATTCGTAACCACTACGCTACCAAAGCTCCTTAAATTCTATAATTTAGAATGCTTTAATTAAGAGTATACCCCATTTTAATGTTGATTCTCAGTCATATACCACATGTTTGCATATAACCTTTGGAAATATCATTCAGAAAGGATACAAGCCAAAGTATAGAAGTTTCTAATCCTAAAGAGTTTTCTGTAGCAAAAAGTCTTAATAGCTTTATGATGATTTTAACTAAATATATTTCAAATAAATTTCCAAAATATTTTAAAACATTATGCCACATACCCACATACTTTTCTTGTTGTTGTTGTTGTTAAAGGCTGTAGAGTCGGGTTCTGACCCATAGGAACCCTGCATAGGGTTTCCGAGGAACAGCTGGTGAGCTTGAACCGCTAGCCTTGCGGTTTAAGCAGACTTTGCAGTGCAGCGCATTAACCCACAGCGCTGCACCAGGACCCCCACATACTAGAATACTCTTAAAATCATTAGAAGCAATATGGGAGGAATACTACATTTATTCAGAAATATTTCAAATTTTCAATGCAATGCCTTCATTCATTCTGAATGAAGTTCTTTCCAAGAGACAACTATTTTTTGACTCTCAAAGGAAAACTGTAATTCAAGTACTCCAAACACCCAAATTATCAAGAGTTCAAAAAAATTTTTTTTCTTCATAGATATAATTTAACACACTTACAAACACCATTTATAGGCAGGTCTCTTTAAATGAATGCTTTGAAGAAATACATTCTTGGTTTTTCATTTTAATGGCTTAAAACAAATTTTAGCAAAAGGACATATTGTACACTGAAAAAAATATTACCTAGTACCCAAACAATGATCATACCTTGAAACATGCTTAAAAGCCTCCACTATAACTGGTGCAAAATCTTTTGTAAACTCCGGCCCCTTCCTTTTGCTGTTCTGAATGACATCATTGGCTAGGTACAGAAAAGTAAGCTTCCTGTTTGGTTTGGCTGAAAAAGAGAGAAAAATTTAAAAGCTACTTAAAATGTCCTCATGTAACTCAGACAAATTTTATAGCACCCAAATTGAGAACAACTACTATCCTTTATATATCATATTAAATTCCAGCTTGTCATTTTATGACCACACTTACAAAGTTGTTGCTGCTTTACTTACCAGTATAACTAACTACTTTTATTTCTGCAGACCAATCATGTGAGAAAAAGAGAGCGCCAAAGAGGCAAGAGGTCAGTGACAGCTCTTTCTGTTTCCTTGGCAGTTTTACTAAATCACCAAAACTAAGTAACATCCTTGATTCTGAGCCTTATCACCAATTCCAAATATATAGTGAAACCCACGTTTCTGTAAGCAAGCATCTCTGACTCTACATATACTAAATTTTATTAAAATCATTGCAAATTATATGAATTAAAGCCACTTAAAATAAGGTAGTGATTTGTCATGTTGTTAAAATGGTACCCTAAATCTAAAACTTCAGTGTGAACTGCAAGGTCGGCAGTTCAAACTCACCAGCTACTCCTTAGAAACCCTGTATAGGGTTGCTATCAGTCTGAATGGACTTGATGGCACTTAACAACAACAAACCTTAAACTGAATTTAAGATTTGTTTAGTACCTATGTTGACACAAATCAATTATGAAGTTATTACGAAATAACAGGAGTACAAAAGAGAATCCCCTTTGGATTACATTTTTTACTGGGAGGAGGAAGCCCTAAACATTGCCCAGTTGATGTTCCTAATATTTACCCTCTTAACATAGCAAATACTTACTGCATTAAAAATATTTTTTTGAGTGTTACTTGAATTCATGGCTTACTACTAAGCTCTCAAAAATATTTAAGAATAAGAATGTAAAAATGTGTAAGATTTCAAAATATATTACTCAACATATTCACAAGGGCAAATCCTATACTAGGAAGGGGAGCAAACACCAAGATTTTTTTTTTTTTTTCCTTGTTGAACCCAGGCTGAAAATCGAGAAGTAACTAGAAATCACCACCATGTATATACCCTTTCCTCCTATTTTCAGGGAAAGAAATTTACTTCCATTTAAAACTATGAACCTTTACCTAGAGCACATAATAAATGAATGGAACTAGTCACAACAGAATATTCCCTGGTGGTGCACTCAGCTGCTAATCAAAAGATCAGTAGTTCAAGCCTACCTGCCACTCTGCTGGAAAAAGATGTGGCAGTCTGCATCCTTAAGATGACATCCTTGGAAATTCTATGGGACAGTTCTACTGTGTCCTAGAGGGCTCACCATGAGCTGTTATTGACTCAACAGCAATTCATCACAATCCACTATGTCAAAAGAAAGTCAAGAAAGTAATTTTAAATGAATTTTAATAATAATTTCTTATGTTTCTGTTGTTCATGTTGTTGTTAAGTGCTGATGAGTTGATTCCGACCCATAGCGACCCTCTATAGAGTTTCCAAGGAGCAGGTGGTGAGCTTGAACCATCGACCTTGCAGTTCAAATGACTCTGTAGTCTGAGGTATTACCTCACAGTGCCACACCAGGACTCCCTTTCAAAAGACAATAGGTGGGGTGGGGTGGGGGTGGGGGTGGGGCTTCCAGCAAGATGGTGAACTAGGCACACTAAAGAGACTTTCTACATTATAGGAGACTAAATGAAATAAAAACAGAGGACAAGCCTGAAACCCTGAGCTGCTTCAGAGGAAAGATTAGACAAGTGGACTGAATACCTACTAGGAGGAGAAGGTGAACACAGGGCAGCAAAAAGTTCACTGACTGCTGGGCAGACGTGGCACAGACATCTTTAACTTTTGAAAGCAGTTATAGATAGACGGCATGGATTCTCACGGGCAATAGAAAAGTTGGAATTCCTTCTTGCTCCCCACATTCCCCTGAATAACTGAGGTGAGGCTGGTCGCCCCCTCCCCCATTTATTCCAGTGCAGAACCTACTCTCCAAGAGTTCTGTGTCACATGGTTTGAGCCACTATGAGACAGATGCCCACTGTACCACCTTGGCACTTGGATTCAAGTGGGCTCTGCTCCAGATCTCCGGATCTAGAGCAGAGTCTACAGTCCTGAATTAGACTAGCAGGTACCTTAATACTTAGCTACCCCCTGCTGCCTGCCCTGTGCATACTGACTGCTGTGCATCTCCTGGGCTCAGCTGGATATGACTGTCATGGGGTCCAGAGCCAGGTCGGTGCAGTGAGTGTTTATTGGCTGCAGCCATGCAAGTCAGGGGTAACGGAGAATGCTACTTGACTCCTTCCTGTACAAAGTACTTGGAATTATGCTCAAGTAAGACATATTTATGGTTGTTTGTAACTACAGGATGTTGATGTTCAGAGATCAGATATTGTTACCAAGGGCTTGGATGTTGCTATAATGCTAGAAACTATGCCAGCAAGGTCACCCATGGTACCCAGGACGTAGAAGAACTTGCAGATGAAGACAGACAAGGAAGAAAGATCTAGTGATCTACTTGCAAAAACAGCCAATGAGAACTATGGATCACAACAGCCTACTACACTCGCTTGTTTTAGACATGTCAAGAAAAAATCAATCTCTGCAGGATGACACCATGTTTAGTGAAGGAGAGGGCCAATTAAGATATGAGAGACTCCCCAGTGAGAGAGGATGATGCACTATCACAGAGTGGACTAGAACATGCCAGCAGTCATAATTGCACAGACCTGGGCAACATTTTGATCTATTATGCATAAGATCACCATGAGTCAGAGTTGACTTGACATCAGCTCTCTATCAATTTGCCAGGGCCATACAGTACACATACCAAAAGTCATCTTTCCTATTAAATTAATAATATGAAAGCTTCATGCAAACTGGTACATGACAGTCCACATCACTAAAAATATTAGTTCTCTTTTCTTAAAGCAATCATAAATATAAAATTATATCCCTGTATGTCTATGGGTATGCATACTGCTATAGGAATGGATGTCACAAAGTTCACAAAAAAATAACATTGTCTTTCAATTCCATTTTTCCCACAAACTTTTTGAACCCTCCTCATACTTATACCAATAAAGATAAGCCCAATAAGTACTACTTAACACTTAATTACATGGCTCCATTTTCTTATACCTCATCTCCCTGAACTAAAACTTAAGCTCTTCGTGGGTAACTATAGCCCCTCATCATGAGACCTTGCATACAAACATGCTTGCACTCATACACACAATCTGGCTGGCTAACATGTAAGAACTTAGTATTACTTAAAAAGGCACAGTTTCTTGGCATAGATGAGCGAGTGCCTCTAGGGCCGCCTCACTTTGTTGAAAGATTTCAATTTGTATTCTACCAATTCCCAGTGCCTTGTTCTTTGCCAATTCCTTCAATGCACCTTGGACTTCTTCCTTCAGTCTCACTGACTCTTGAACATATGATACCTCTTGAAACTGTTGAACACCAACTGATTGGAAGAGATCTGTATTTGTGCCTATTCCAAAGAGAGGTGACCCAGTGGAATACAGAAGTCATCGGACAATATCTTTGATATCCCATGTGAATAAAGTTTTACTCAAGGTAATACAGAAATGGCTACAACTATACATTGACAGAGAACTTCCAGAGGTTCAGGCCGGATTCAGAACAGGACATGGAATGAGGGATATCATTGCTGATGTCTGAATGATCTTGGCTCAAAGCAGAGAATACCAGAAAGATGTTTACCTGTGCTTTATTGACTATGCAAAGGCCTTCAATTGTGTGGATCATGACAAGCTATGGACAACACTGCAAAGTAGTATTCTAGAGCACTTAATTGTGCTCATGAGGAAGCTGTACATGGATCAAGAAGCAGTTGTTCAAACAGAACATGGGAACACTGAATGGTTTAAAATTAAGAAAGGTGTGTGACAGGGTTGTATTCTTTTACCATATTATTCAACCTGTATGCTGAGCAAATAATCCAAGAAGCTGGCTTATATCAGGATTGGAGGAAGATTCGTTAACAACCTGCAATATGCAGATGAAACAACCTTGCTTGCTGAAAGTGAAGAGGACTTAAAATATTTACTGATGAATATCAAAGACCACAGCCTTCGATATGGATTGCATCCCATATGTAAAGAAAACAAAAATCCTCACCACTGAACCAATAAACAATATTCTTATCAATGGAGAAAAGATTGAAGTTGTCAAGGACTTCATTCTTCTTGGATCAACTATCAACACTCATAGAAGCAGCAGTCAAGAAATCAAACGACGTATTGCATTAGGCAAATCTGATTCACAAGATCTTTTGAACGTGTTGAAGAGTAAAGATGTCAGCTTGAGGACTAATGTGCCCCTGACCCAAGCCATGATATTTTCAATAACCTATTATGCATGCGAAAGACGGACAGTGAACAAGGAAGACCATGCTTTTGAGTTATGGTGTTGAAGGAGAATATTGAAAGTGCCATGGGCTGACCATAGAACCAACAGATCTGTGTTGGAAGAAATGTAGCCAGAGTGCTCCTTGGAGGCTAGGATGGCCAAACTTTGTCTCTCATACTTCGGACATATTGTCAGGAGGTACCAGTCGCTGGAGAACGGTATAATGATTGGTAAGGTGGACAGTCAGAAAAAAAGAGGAAGATCCCTAACTAGATGGATTGGCAATGTGGCAGCATCAATGGGTTCAAGTGTGGCAACAATTATGAGGTTGTCCCAGGACCGGGCAGTGTTTCATTCTGTTGTGCATAGGGTTGCTATGAGTTAGTACTGACTCGATGGCATCTAGCAACAACAACAAAAAAGGCACAGTAGAATCCATTAGCTATGGCCTCCAGCTTTAAGAAAGCAAACATGGCATCAACTTCAAGTCAGTGAAAGAGAATGAGCTATAATCCTTAGGTCAAAGATGAGCAGAAGCAGGATATCTGTGAAGCTTCGATTTCAAAGAGCTTAAGGTAGCCATGTGTGATTTAGGTTGAGCCCAAGAAGGAAGAGATCAAGAAAGTACACAACAAGGTGGATAAAGAAAAGTGCATGAAAAATGAA